TTTAGCCCCACCTATGCACAAATATATTGTGCATAGGTGTATATATCACTCGTGTTTATATAAAAAACTCTACTATAATATTTTTGTTTTATTTTTATTGTCACATATTTTAGATTATTTTTATCCTCTGCTGTTATTATCTGATCATCTGCAAATTGCAATGTAAACAATTGTTTATTGTTAATATCTATTCTCAAAATGAGTGAGTTTCCAAAAGAAGTTTATTGTGAGTTTTCAAAAAAAAAAAAAAAAAAAAATCNAAATTGATAACTCAGCTGAAATCATCTTCAGTGTTATGTTTACTTAGCTCCTCTGAACACTGCAGAACATCTTTGTGAAAAAGTTCCTGTCGTGTCGCTATATTATTATGCCCTGTATATCACACAACATTGAAATATGGAAAAAATACTTTTATCGCATTGTAGGTACCGGTACTATGGGGTCGATTTGACCTGAAACTGAAATAAACATAAGCGGAATGACTTTAAAACTATCGAACGTGTGTCACATACTTAGAAATAACTTACTATAAAATACGTGGCAGGCTAGGCAACTAATCGGGATAGTTTCAAAAAAAAAAAAAAACCATATTTTAAACAAGGTTTAAGTTAAATAGACCCCAATAGTAACTGAGCAGGTTTAAATATAAATTGAATTGTATAAAAGTTTAAAATGCAGGTGAATTTTTACAGTGTTAGAGTTGAATAAATTTACAATGAATGAAATTTTATTACATTGCAATTTATCGTCTCGACACTTTGTAGTGTTATTATTAGAGTATAACAATTATCAGACGATTATCGAGAGAAACGTAATTGAATACCATGAAATAATTACGAAGAAATTATATCGAATTGATTGTAATAAATTGCATCTCTGCTTTAAATAGAAGCCTATTTATCGATCTTTTAGAGTAATTCTCTGTGATTATGAAACTTAAATCTTATATAACTTCAATTTCATAAATGTCGTAAAACTTTTTGAATNTATACAAGTTTAAAATGCAGGTGAATTTTTACAGTGTTACCGTTGAATAAATTTACAATGAATGAAATTTTATTACAGTGCAATTTATTGTCTCGACATTTTGTAGTGTTATTATTAAAATGCAACAATTATCAAACAATTATCGAGAGAAACGTAATTGAATACCATGAAATAATTACGAAGAAGTATATATCGAATTGATTGTTTAATACATTACATCTCTGCTTTAAATAGAAGCCTATTTATCGATCTTTTAGAGTAATTCTCTGTTGTAATCATTGTGATTATGAAACTTAAATCTTATATAAATTCAAATTCATAAATGTCGTAAAACTTTTCGATCAATAGATATTGGTTTTCGATTTAGGAAATGCAAATAGAAATAAAATTTATGAAAACGTAAATATACAATATTAAATTAAAGAATATATCTATTATGTTTATCAGATTAGTAGTGGTTTGGTTCANGATTGTAATAAATTGCATCTCTGCTTTAAATAGAAGCCTATTTATCGATCTTTTAGAGTAATTCTCTGTGATTATGAAACTTAAATCTTATATAACTTCAATTTCATAAATGTCGTAAAACTTTTTGAATCAATAAATATTGGTTTTCGATTTAGGAAATGCAAATGGAAATAAAATTTATGAAAACGTAAATCTACAATATTAAATTAAAGAATATATCTTTATGTTTATCAGATTAGTAGTGGTTTGGTTCATACTGATCACAAAATTAATTTTTCGAGTAAATTACTGTCGAATAAATTAAAATTACAAAAATATATTTTAAATTAAATTCAGATTGCAATTAAATATTTGTCGAATGGAATTATTTCAGATCACAAAATTTAATTATGTTAATTTTATTTTAACAATAAAAGAAAGCTTCTGTATTAATTATTAAATGTTTTAATATCAAGAAAATTAAAACACGATAATTGTATGAAATAATATAACACCAAAACAAAATTATATTTGAATATTTTTTTATTTTTAAATGAATAGATTAAATAAGTTTATTTTATTTAAGCTTTTCCAGTTTTTTTATCCAGTTTATCTAAAACGTGAAATGTTCTTGGTCTAATTTCTGATATTTTATAAATTAATGTGAAATCCGGATTTTCTACCGATTTTTTCCCCGATCAATGTTTCGTTTTACCTAAAATCCCAATTAAATTCTCTAAGAAACTAGAGTGAAAAATAACTTGGATGAGGGAGAAATTTNATAATACTAATCCTAATTTTTATTTATATAAAATTACAGAATGCGATTCTAATGGATTTTGAAGCATTTCAAGTGAAATTATTTATCAACAGTTGGCCATAAAAACATTACACAGCCTTATAGAAGCTGTAACAAAAGATCAATGTCAAGTCAATTTTACTAGCAAAAAAATTAATGTATTAAATTTAATAAACAAAAAACATTAGATGTACAGTACCTGGCTGAATCAAACACAGTAATTTATAAAACTTATTAAATTATTTCACAACGTATAATGAATAATTTTTATTTAAATATAAACAGATAAAAAAACTGTTTTAAAACTGCATTGTTCTCTTTGCGATATTTTATCTTACGAACAATTCTTAATTAAACAAGTAAAAAACATAACTTTATTATATTTTTTTATAATTATTATATTTATCAATTTCCCTATTTCACTTTGTCTTATTCTATGATATTATTTTAAGTTGTCGTGTTTTAATTTACTTGAATATTAGAACGAATTGTAAAAATTATTACAAAATAATAAATTTGATAATTAGAAGGAATATATCGAACTTCCCTTATTTATTTAAGATTTGTGATCGAAATATAAATTTTCTGATCAGTCTGACCCAAACCACTTAAACCATATCAGATAAATATATCAGATATATCCTTGTAATTTAATATTGTATATATACGTTGTCATAAATTTTATTTCCATTTGCATTTCCTAAATCGAAAAGCTATTAGCCATTGATCGGTAAGTTTTACGACATTTATGAAATTGAATTTATATAAGATTTAAGTTTCATAATCACAATGATTACAACAGAAAATTAATCTAAGAGATCGATAAATAGGCTTCTATTTAAAGCATGAATGCAATTTATTAGACAATCAATTCGGTATAATTTCTTCGTAATTATTTTATGGTATTCAATTACGTTTGTCTCGATAATCGTCTGATAATTGTACTTTAACAATAACACTACAAAGTGTCGAGACGATAAATTGAACTGTAATAAAATTTCATTCATTGTAAATTTATTCAACGGTAAAACTGTAAAATTCACTCGCATTTTAAATATTTCAAACTTTTATACAATTCAATTTATATTTAAATCTGCTCAGGTAGTATTGAGTCTATTTAACTCAACCCTTGTTTGGACTATGTTTCTTTTGGAAACTATGACGATTACGAATATTAAAGCAGTTAAAGAATTATATAGATTATTGAAAAATATTGGGGAAAAAATCAAAAGGACTAAGACAGAAATGTTGTATGTCACCAACTTCATTTAAAATCTAAGTAAAAGAAGTATAAAAAATATGAAAAAGCAAATGTTATGATATGGTAACAAATATTAACAATACACCAATATTTACATTGCAATTTTCAAATGATCAAATGATAATAAGGATAAACTAAAGTACATGACAATAAAAATAAAACAAGAATATTTTAGAGGAAACTTATATATTAACATTAGTGAAACAATATATTTTTGCATAGGTGAGGCTAAAACAGACACAAAAATAGAGGAAGGAGAAAAGTTTGAAAGATGTTAACATCACAATTATCTTGGAATACAAATTCATCAAGATGGAAGAGATACATTGGAAATTAATACAAAATTAGCATAAGTAAGAAAGCAGTTAAAAAATTAAATGGAGTATGGTGGAGTGAAGAATTATATATGTATATAACGGTTGAAATGGATGCATTAAGAAGATCGTGCAAAATCTCAAAAAAAAGAAATAATAACTAATGAGAGATTCAAAGACCTAATAGAATTGAAGCTATTAAAAGACCTAATGGGCTTTGGAAAAAATAAAGAGAAGAAACTTATTTAGTTTGGAAAAAGTAAGAGTGACAAGAGACTCCCGAAAATGTCAATGGAATAATTTCATATAAAAGTAGAAAGAGAAGAAGACCGAGACGAACTCGGTACGTCGGAGTATAATTAGCGTATTGTGAAAAGACGAATGGTGTATGGATAGAGAGAGAGATGGAAAGGGTTCCTGCAGATCTAGAGGCGACTTCAAACGCCATAACCCGGATACAGATACTGTAGACAGATTATGTAAACAGAAAATATATTTCAAATTATTAGAAAATGCATAGAAATATAACCGATAACTTCGTAATATAAGTAACGTTAAATTTAAAATAATTGTACACGTGTTATTGGAAATATCTAAAGCATCGATTTCATTGACATAAATCTCGAAACAGAAATTCCTCGTAAAATAGAAATGTCTTTTATTGACTTTAAATTATTTCAGGCAGGAATGTAATCATTTCAATCCAAATTATGTAATTTATGACTCGTCTGAAATCTTTTAATAATCGTTTGAGAATTTCCAAATTTTGAATATTAATAAATATATATTTATTAAAGGCAAAACTTACTATTTAATTTAAATTTTCTTTCAAACGAAGAATTCCTAAATTTTAAAACTGTTCTGTACATTCTATTATATATAATTACGTATTTTTCTATAATATATAAAAGTCGAAATGTCTTTGTACGTATATTTGTTTTAACGTTTTACAAATGATTTTATATTACGGCAGCAAATTTAACAAGAACTTTCGCACACAAATCGTACGAAAAGAATCCTTTTTAAATCAATTCCATGAAAACTGTATAATGTTGTATTGAGTGTTGTGTTTATTGCAGTGTTTTTCTTAATGTTTGTTCTGTGGTTATTACTCTAAATTTTAGCAACTTTTTGTGATTTTTATTTTTATTAATGTAAATACATAGGTCAATTAATGAACATTTTAGTTTCAAAAACTACTGTTTTGTAACCTTTTTAAACCACTCTTGACCAATTCCTTGAATCGCCCAAGCAACGCAGGGAAAACGTAAATATCTATGCATATAATTAAAGGTTTTTAATTATAATTGTGTAAACTCTTTAATAAATTACAAGCGAAAATGTATTTTTCTGATTAATCGAAACGGTGACAATTGCCGATAACTAAATAAATAAGCGAAATAAAATTTAACTCTAAACTATATCTTTTAATGCGAATGGTAACTATTCTGAATATTCTGGTAAATGAACTTGTATCGTTAGACATTTAAGCTTAGTCGTTGTTTCTCTTAATATCAATACTACAATTAAATGGAGAGGCATTCATCGAATTTAATGTTAAATATTAAATATAGGTATCTACCACGAAGAATATAGAGTGAAATTTATAATCAATTACGTATACAAAAATCAAATAACGTATCGCAAATGGAATAAAATTCGAAATTTATTGATGGCGAATTGTTTCCAAGCAACAATTCAGTTTTTACAATCCGTAAGATGATTGGATTAAACACTGGTTAACGTCACCGTATTGATTTTCTACAATTGCGTCTATCAACCAATCACTAACCATCTTATGGTTTACATATTCACTTCATGGAATATTCTACTGGAGACAAAACGACTTAAAGCGTTGTTCTACTTTTGTATTTATTTCGATTACTCAGTTTGCAAACTGTGGATATTTCCGAATCTGTATTCTGTTACTTTATAATTGAAGTCAACGATTAACTTTAGTGCACTTCAGGACTGCATAACGAAAGAATCTTTGCACTTGTTTCGTTCAAAATGCATTCACCACACAGCAATTGCATTGCCACAAAACTTCGACCTTTCATTTCTGTTTTTGAAGTATTTAGTTTGAATATTTTCGAAACATGCGATTGTCAAAAAGAAAAATCAAGAAGAACGCGAAAATTTTTCACTCTTTATACGAATTTTCTCGAAATATTTCTATGGACGATTGTATTAATGTTCACAGTAACGATTGCGTCTGATAGCGTTTGCATTCAAATATTTTCGATATTTGGAAATAACAAATTTTACATTATAATCGTTCTGTGGAATGCTTCCTTGTACGCAGCGCTACTATTCAGTATTTTGCGAAGAAGAAAGCTTAATATTCATCATTTGATGAAAGATTTTAAGGAAGAAGTAGAATTTATCGAGAAACACGAAGGTTACATTATTTATTATTTTTGTTTTTACGTTTTGTTTCTCTTATGTTGTGTCACAATTAGTTCGTACATTGGTTATTCTGCATTAAAGTCGGTACATCTCAATTATAAAATGTCTCTTCTCTATGTTTTTGGCGTAGAACTTTGGATAATTTATCTAGCGTCTCACTCGATTTGTGTACTTTTGTTTTCAATTATTTTTTTGTCACTTTTAGGAAAAAAATTGATAAACATTTCTATTCAGTTGCAGTTTGCAAAGAATGCAACAAAATCTTTTATTGATCAACTAATGGAAAAACTCTGGGAAATTTGGCAGATATTTGAAGAAGTCAACGATAAATGGAAGGTGATACACCCTCTTATTTACAGTTTTTCCGTTTATCAAACTTGCTTTTATATATATATCGCTCTCTTCGTACGTCTTGATATAATTTTTCGTGTGGCAATTGCAATAATTGCAGTGATATTTTTAACTGGAGCAATAATAGCGTCGTGGGCATTATCAAGTTTTACCTCGATCGTAAGTATTGATCTAATAAATATTCAAGTTATAAGATGAAACTTAAACTAAAAAATTTTTTTATAAATATACTTCAGATATACGACAGTTTTATCAACATAGGGAAGTATAACTCTTCTATTTTGTCGCCGATATACAGATTTAAAGTACGTTATTTATTAATCTTATTGCATATGTAATGTAATTTTATTAATAATTGCATAATTTCAGATCATTTGTTTCATGAAGAGATTCGGAGGAAGACCTTTCGGAATATCTGTGTGGGGATTTTTTTACGTCAAAAGAAATTTTTTGATAAGGGTAAATACGTCTTATTATAGTTTTGTTTTTAGTTTTGTTACAGAATATCGTATTCATATATTACGGCAAATTTTAATTTTCGATGATAAAACACAAATTGCAATCATGGTTATCTTAAAAAATTGACAAAACGGAATATTGTTCAATCTGAAAAATCTTATATTGTTTATTAATTTTTATAGTCTGGATATCAGCAATGTCTAATAATTTCTTAAAATATTATAAAATTAGTTATAACGCTTCAATTCAAAATGCATTTTTAGTATGGTGTTTAAAGAAGAGTGAAATATCTAGAAATAATCATAAATAGAAAAAATATTTTTGCTGCTGTTTTATTTATTATAATTTAAATTGTTTTCAGGTGGTGAGTGGATTTTATTCGGTTTTATCTTCTTTAATTGAATTGACCGGTGCTCTACAAAATAAAAGATGCTCTGCAAAAAGCTCTTTAAACTATACGTTTAAGAATGAAACAAATAATTGAAAGTTTTTATACCGGCAAATTAACTGGCAAACTTTTTATGTAGGATAGCTACTGATAGCTAAATTTTTACTGAAGAAGTATGGAAATTTCACTGTTAATCCGTTAGTGACTGACAAATATCGTGTTTCAACAAATTCATAAACAATACTTTTAGCAAAAAACTCGACGATACTGTAAAAATAAAAAGTTTTACACCTCTATTTTTTATTTCTTTATTTCATTGTTATCTGATATGTTCTGTTCTACTTTATTTTATGAAATCATAACAGGTAGAATATAACGATTCTTGTGCGAAAGTAGTTAGTAAAGAAAAACACATAATAGAATCTAGTACTATTAAATAAATGTACTTAATTCACAGAATTAAGAAATAAAAATCGTTATAATATTCTTTATTATACAGGAAATCAGTTTTATAGTATTCTTTATTATACAGGAAATCAGTTTTATATACTATATCAGTTTTATATACAGTTATATTATACATAAAATTTGTTTTATTTTTCTTTATTATACAGGAAATCAGTTTTATAGTATTCTTTATTATACAGGAAATCAGTTTTATATACTATATCAGTTTTATATACAGTTATATTATACATAAAATTTGTTTTATTTTTCTTTATTATACAGGAAATCAGTTTTATAGTATTCTTTATTATACAGGAAATCAGTTTTATATACTATATCAGTTTTATATACAGTTATATTATACAGGAAATCAGTTTTATATATAGTTATTATACAGGAAATCAGTTTTATAATATTCTTTATTATACAGGAAATCAGTTTACATTGTTCAAATTTGCCTCTAGAGAGCAAATTTGAACAATGTGTAGTTTAAAAGTGCATAAATGCTAAATGGAATTCCTGTTTCGTAAATTTTACAATCATAACTGGTATCGTGGGGGCTGCGCAGCATTTTACATTAAAAGAAATTTCTTGATAAGGGTAAATACGTCTTATTATAGTTTTGTTACAGAATATCGTATTTATATATTACGGCAAATTTTAATTTTCGATGATAAAACACAAATTGCAATCATGGTTACCTTAAAAAATTGACAGAACGGAATATTGTTCAATCTGAAAAATCTTATATTGTTATTAATTTCTATCGTCTGAATATCAGCAAAATCTAATTATTTCTTAAAATATTATAAAATTAGTTATAACGCTTCAATTCAAAATGCATTTTTAGTATGGTGTTTAAAGAAGAGTGAAATATCTAGAAATAATCATAAATAGAAAAAATATTTTTGCTGCTGTTTTATTTATTATAATTTAAATTGTTTTCAGGTGGTGAGTGGATTTTATTCGGTTTTATCTTCTTTAATTGAATTGACCGGTGTTCTACAAAATAAAAGATGCTCTGCAAAAAGCTCTTTAAACTATACGTTTAAGAATGAAACAAATAATTGAAAGTTTTTATACCGGCAAATTAACTGGCAAACTTTTTATGTAGGATAGCTACTGATAGCTAAATTTTTACTGAAGAAGTATGGAAATTTCACTGTTAATCCGTTAGTGACTGACAAATATCGTGTTTCAACAAATTCATAAACAATACTTTTAGCAAAAAACTCGACGATACTGTAAAAATAAAAAGTTTTACACCTCTATTTTTTATTTCTTTATTTCATTGTTATCTGATATGTTCTGTTCTACTTTATTTTATGAAATCATAACAGGTAGAATATAACGATTCTTGTGCGAAAGTACTTAGTAAAGAAAAACACGTAATAGAATCTAGTACTATTAAATAAAAGTACTTAATTCACAGAATTAAGAAATAAAAATCGTTATAATGTTTTTTATTATACAGGAAATCAGTTTTATAATT